GAATGCTCAAAACAAAACTTGAAGATGAAATCTTTCATTTGAAGGAATTATGCACTCACATGGACATAATAGTTGAGAAACTCAGACGAACACCAAACATCTTTTCCTGTACTTGGTTTTGTTATTCGTTTTGTCTAGGTTCTTTAGCTTTTGTTTGAGCAGTCTTGCGGACCTCAATAGTTGAAAATCCCAGGAAAGCTTAGAATTATTAGAATTATCTTTCCCAAAGTTTTCATCGGCTCGTCATCATTTATTTGTCTTCGTCTGTAAGTCTTTCCGGTTTTGTCTAACATATGCCAGGGGGGTCTGTTTAGTTCCCACGGTCAATAAACCCAAACATGTCAACAATGATTTAGGCATTCAGCTTGTATTTATCAGTAGAAGCAGTAGAGCTTTAACAGTCCAACAAACCTTCTGCTATCGAACATGTTTTTAATGCAGTCCTGAGAACACATTTTTTCATCCACGTCTCACCTCAGTGCTGAGGAGATTTGAAAAGTTGCAATAGATATGTCTGGTTTTGAGATCTTCTGAGAAGGGCACTTACCCAACAGACGCTTCTGGAGTCTTCAGCTAAAGCCTCTATTATATTACAATCGTGATATTTGAAATGTTTTACAATACTAGCAATCTTCCGATTATGGTTTACATTAAGACTCGTAAATTACTATAAATATTGCCGGNGTCAATAAACCCAAACATGTCAACAATGATTTAGGCATTCAGCTTGTATTTATCAGGAGAAGCAGTAGAGGTTCCGAGCTTTAACAGTCCAACAAACCTTCTGCTATCGAACATGTTTTTGATGCAGTCCTGAGAACACAGTTTTTCATCCACGTCTCACCTCAGTGCTGAGGAGAAGTGAAAAGTTGCAATAGATATGTCTGGTTCTGAGATCTTCTGAGAAGGGCACTTACCTAACAGACGCTTCTGGAGTCTTCAGCTAAAGCCTCTATTATATTACAATATTTGAAATTTTTTACAATACTAGCAATCTTCCGATTATGGTTTACATTAAGACTCGTAAATTACTATAAATATTGCCGGCACCAACGTGTTAACAATCAAAATTCCCCTTTCAGTTTCTTGTTACATCATACAATTTCCTAATGTTTTTCTTTCTCTGAAAAGATGCTGAACGATTTAGAGACGGCCTTGTGATTCGGAAGGTTAATTTAAGTCTGAAACTATACATTCTGTTCAGTAATGATTTGTTATAGTATCTAAAAGCGAGGGCCGGGCGTTTCGTTGCTAATCTGTAGTAGTAGTAGTAATAAGAGCTTTTATTTCTGAGTCAAAGTTGCTAACCCGCCTAACAGAGTAGTGTTACTTATCATCTCGTCTTTCGTTAATGAAGTTTTGAAATGTTTCTCAACTTATTATGAAAGCTATGGCACAGAAACACGAATATGGCTCTTGCTTGAATTTTCATTATACCATCTAATATGAGTATTAATAGTTTTCTTTAGGAGTCGATCAGTCTGTCTGGTTTAGATGCATCAGTGTGTATTTGCCTGTACGATATTGCAAAGTGAAGACTGATATGGGTAAACTAACTTGTCGTCAAAAGCATTCTCAATGTTTCAGAGGATCTTAAAAAATTCTATTTTCGAGCGTCTTAGATCGCAAAAAAATTCTTCTTTCCACCTCCCCTCCCTCCACACACGCACCTACTAGATAGACATTGTTTTTTTTTTTTAATTTATGTCTTAATCAGACCACAACAACTGTGCAATATTGAATTTTCAGAGAACTCTTGATGCATGCATTTGTCTAAGGGGTTAGATGTCGCACAGCGTCGTTTTTCAAGTGTCTCGATTACTTTTACCGCCCATTGTGACTTCACAGGGCATAACTTACCTCTTGCATGTTTATAATATAATTAAATATAATTAATGTGTTGAAATATAGCTAAAATATTGTAATATAATTAATATCGCACTTTAAAGTTGAATCCATGCAGTTTTGAATGCTTCAAGTTATAATGCATTCATCGACCGTACAGGATTGGATATAAACACTACTCATGATATTAAACATCGTAAAGGTATTACGAAGAAATTTGATTGTAATGTATGCAATGTTCCAATTCTACAAGAACACGAGGTCTCCTTTTCTCAATTTCACAAGTCCAGTCTACTATTCCTGTTAACAAGCTGTTCACTCTTTGTATGGTTATCTGATGATCGATAACTCCTGTTTAAATTAATGTATGAAATATTATACTGCTTTATATTATACTCCAGACGGAATAATGTTTTGAATTGTCCATTTTATCTGTAAACAGTAACTTCCAAAGCCTTTACAGAGAAATTCATAAGGATGATTTCTTATCTCTAGTCTATGCAAGCTGTAGTGTTACCCCCTTCGATTCCATTGTTTATAAATTTATGGAGACGAGTTCATGACTCTTGTGGGAATTTTTCCTCTGAACATTTTTCGAGCAGTCAAGTAAGAAAATACGGCAACTGATGTGATATTTCTTATAATTGGAAATCATTTAACTTCGATATGTTCAGACTACCATACACTTCTAAGTTAAGTGGCAATTTATGTTTATCAACCAATAGCATACGAGTAGAGAACTTGTGCGGTGTCCAGATATATAATCCGTCAGCCCGAATAAGAAATTCCACTGGTAATACTAAATTTAACATTTTTTCTGCAAACCTGTTGATTTCTTTGGTTAAATTTGAGTATCAGTCAGTCAATTGAATAGGAATTGGAGGAGTAAAATAAAATAAAAAATTTAAAAAAAAATTCTGCTTGCACAAATTGTAGTCTATAATTGCTGTATCGCTTGTGATCCAGCAAGAAAATGAGAAATATACTCTTTGCCCAAGCTACAGCTTGCACATACGCTAAACCGTGAAAGTGTCCCTTAAATAACGCGACCATCCGCCTTAACTGCAGCTCTCAAATGATGGACAGCAAATGATGATCAATCTGGATGATGCCTTTAGTTTATAGCATGTTATAGCGTTAAAATATTTCACAAGTGAATTTGGAAAGGAATTTTTTCGATATTAGATTACCGAATTCCTCTTTCAAACATTCTATATAGCAGCATCCGTTTCCCCCTATTCAAAATGGCAGCTAATTCGCTTTCAATCTTCTGATGAGAGACTCGGCGGTTTGGAAGACTAGGTTAATTTTTCGCTCTTTGTACTGTTTTAAGTGTATTGCAGGGCAATTTGACATGCACACCGCGCCCTTTGACAGCTTGTCCGTTCGCTGAATACAGTTCAATCACGCCAAACTCTACTAGAACAGATGTAGTAAATTAATTAATCGCAAAGATAGTTACAAGTTAACGTTTTGCTGTAAGGTTCGGACACCANTTATACTCCAGACGGAATAATGTTTCGAATTGTCCATTTTATCTGTAAACAGTAACTTCCAAAGCCTTTACAGAGAAATTCATAACGATGATTTCTTATCTCTAGTCTATGCAAGCTGTAATGTTACCCCCCTTCGATTCCATTGTTTATAAATTTATGGAAGACGAGTTCGTGACTCTTGTGGGAATATTTCCTCTGAACATTTTTCGAGAAGTCAAGCAAGGAAATACGGCAATAGATGTGATATTTCTTATAATTGGAAATCATTTAATTTCGATATGTTCAGACTACCATACTCTTCTAAGCTAAGTGACAATTAATGTTTATGAACCAATCGCATACGAGTAGAGAACTTGTGCGGTGTCCAGATATGATATATAATCCGTCGGCGCGAATAAGAAATTCCACTGTTAATACTAAATTTAACATTTTCTCTCCAAACCTGTTGATTTCTTTGGTTAAATTTGAGTATCAGTCAGTCATTCTGCTTGCACAAATTGTAGTCTATAATTGCCGTATCGCTTGTGATCCAGCAAGAAAGTGAGAAATATACTTTTTGCCCAAGCTGCAGTTTGCACATACGCCAAACCGTGAAAGTGTCCCTTAAATAACGCGACGATCTGCCTTAACTGCAGCTCTCAAACGATGGACAGCAAATGATGATCAATCTGGATAATGCCTTTAGTTTATAGCATGTTATGGCGTTAAAATATTTCACAAGTGAATTTGTAAAGAAATTTTTCGATATTAGATTACCGACTTCCTCTTTCAAACACTCTATATAGCAACATCCGTTTCCCCCTATTCAAAATGGCAGCTAATTCGCTTTCAATCTTCTAATGAGAGACTCGGCGGTTTGGAAGACTAGGTTAATTTTGCGCTCTTTGTGCTGTTTTAAGTGTATTGCAGGGCAATTTGACTTGCACACCGCGCCCTCTGACAGCTTGTCCGTTCGCTGAATACAGTTTAATCACGCCAAACTCTACTAGATCAGATGTAGTAAATTAATTAATCGCAAAGATAGTTACAAGTTAACGTTTTGCTGTAAGGTTCGGACACCACTTTACTCATCTTGGAAAATAAGCAATGACTTGCTAAGATTCTATAAAGATGGTCGATTTCCCCTAGGGTAATTGAATATACAACTGGAACAATCAAACGAAAACAAACTCACAACTTCTGAACAAATAGCGCACTAACCTTGGGCTGAACACATGTAGACAACTAAGGACAGGATAAGGAATCTCATCATCGCTGACAACTCTTCCACCAGCATGCAGAGACTTAATTTGGGCCTAAACGCCAAGAGCCGGCGGGTCTATTGACGAAGCTTTCACCTCAGAAGCAAAGCGTGTGAGCCGTGTGTTCGCGACAAAGGCACTCAGCCATGAATAGTCGACGTCTGTGACCTGAGTGCGTGATGATTAACAAGTGACAGCATGAATATTTAATATTGATCGATGTCATTCCTATAAGACAGCTAATTTCATACCAAAGAAGCCGAGATCAGTCGCCGTGAAACCACACTGAAATATTTGTGACAGTCTGGCGGGAGAGGTCTACCCGCAGATTAGAGCTGATAATTTTCATTCAGGCAAGGAGCTTTAAAAAGGTTGCCATTTACGCTTCACGACTAATAAAACGAGATAGCTTGTTGAGGTGAACTTTGGCCATAGCTTCTGTTCGTGATTGTATTGCACACCATGTGGCCTGCGACGAATTAGAGCGATTAAAACTAATACCATTTGTGAAAACACGAAACAAGATAAGCCCAAATATTGCAAACAGACAGCAAATGAAAACTGTAGGCCATGCTACTTTAAAGCCAAGGCCAAATAAAGAAAACAGATCGGAATTACAATCCCTATGAAACAAGAAAAGGCGCACACTTTGGTCAAAGATTTAATTAATACTATTTATAATAGTTTTTGTCCGGCAAAGGCAATTTTGATAAGCATCTTTTGAGCTAAATCGTTTCCAGGAACCTCTGTCGAGGCTCTAGTTTCGCCTTGACGATAAAAAAGAGAGAAAGAGAGAGAGTGAGAGAGATAGAGATAAGATCCTGATCATAAGGGTTTGGGACACTTTTTCTCTGCGAGAAACCAACAATTTAAAGTCATAGAATCGAAATAGCCTTACAAAGATCTTTTCCTAGCCCATCCCCCTCCCCCCTGAACAATGTTGAATTTCTTTGACTCTACAATATATTTGCGACTCACATCTTTGACTCTTGACACCCAACATTTTCCGGGGGGGAATAAATAGAAATGCTGTTTTAAAGAAAAATGACGAAGTGTCCCCTACGTNGGATAAGGAATCTCATCATCGCTGACAACTCTTCCACCAGCATGCAGAGACTTAATTTGGGCCTAAACGCCAAGAGCCGGCGGGTCTATTGACGAAGCTTTCACCTCAGAAGCAAAGCGTTTGAGCCGTGTGTTCGCGACAAAGTCACTCAGCCATGAATAGTCTGTGTCCTGAGTGAGTGATGATTAACAAGTGACAGCATGAATATTTAATATTGATCGATGTCACTCCTATAAGACAGCTAATTTCATATCAAAGAAGCCGAGATCAGTGGCCGTGAAACCACACTGACATATTTGGAGAGGTCTACCCGCAGATTAGAGCTGAAAATTTTAATTTAGGCAAGGAGCTTTAAAAAGGTTGCCATTCACGCTTCACGACTAATAAAACGAGATAGCTTGTTATAGTGAACTTTGGCCATAGCTTCTGTTCGTGATTGTATTGTACACCATGTGGCCTGCGACGAATTAGAGCGATTAAAACTAATAACATTTGTGAAAGCACGAAACAAGATAAGCCCAAATATTGCAAACAGACAGTAAATGAAAACTGTAGGCCACGCTACTTTTAAGCCAAGGCCAAATAAAGAAAACAGACCGGAATTACAATCCCTATGAAACAAGGGAAGGCGCACACTTTGGTCAAAGATTTAATTAATAGTTTTTGTCCGGGAAAGGTGATTTTGATAAGTATCTTTTGAGCTAAATAGTTTCCAGGAACCTCTCTCGAGGCTCTCGTTTCGCCTTGACGATAAAAAAAAAGAGAGAGAGAGAGGGAGAGAGATAGAGATAAGTTCCTGGCCAAAAGGGTTTGAGACACTTTTTCTCTGCGAGAAACCAACAATTTAAAGTCATAAAAATAGCCTTACAAAGATCTTTTCCTAGCCCATCCCCTCCCCTCTGAACCATGTTGAATTTCTTTGACTCTACAATATATTTGCGACTCACATCTTTGACTCTTGACAAAAAACAGTTTCCGGGGGGGAATAAATAGAAATGCTGTTTTAAAGAAAAATGACGAAGTGTCCCCTACGTGTTGTCCAGGATTGTAGGTTCCGAATGCGTACATGAGACATA